TACCAAGTCTTGAAAACCTTTTTTTTTAATAGATCCTCCTGGACTGAATCCAGCTCTACCTTAATTAGCAAAGCAATTTGCAATACCCTTTCCCAAAAGTGCTTATGTGTCCCTTTGTGTGAGTAGAATAAGGGCCGCTGTACCAATTGCTGTCACCACCCAAAATTCAATTTTGAAAATTGAAACGGGTGCCTGCGGCACTGATGTAGATTTCTATGTATAAAAGTTTAATATGGTAAAGAGAAATTTACTGATGACTGAGCAAGGGAAATGCAAAAGGAGCAAAACAGCCACAAAGGACACTCGTCAGATGAACATTATTTGATTCACATTTCAGGAGCAGCGCTGAAGTTTTCATCATGTCCCCACTGCTGCCTTTTTCAAACCCAGCACTGCGATTAGTCCTAAAACTTCCGTGATCTCATTAGGTGTGAATGCAAAATCAGATAATTTAAAGCTTGTATTAAGAATATTTCTGAAAACGCACAGTCCATTTCATCAGAAAAACTGCATTTCAGGACTCGGGAATGTTAGTGCTGGAGTCTGTGAATCAAGTGTAAGGTATAGGAACGTGGTGAGGCTTCCGGAATCTGACAGATGTCTCCATCGACATCCTTTTAAGTAGTAAGCATGACTGTTTTTAATTGCTGAGCTGGAGTTCTCTGTGGCTAGGAACTTGGCATTGACAAAGACTCGGTCACTCCTCAGGCAGTAAGAACTTGGCTAGAAATGGACATATCTCAAACTCCTTTTACACCCTCAGACGCCTTCTGACCTCAGACGGGAAGCTGTCTGGCAAGGCTGTTTTTAGGACTCAGGTGTTTGGTCTTTTTTCTCAGATTACGATTGAGTCCAGGAATTATGGGAACTCTCTAGGATAAACTATCTCTTTCACGCTGAGGAAGCTTAAGAGATGAGGGCACCTGAGGGTCACTTTGCTTTTTGCACTTAGACTTTGTGCACTTTGCTCTTACAGGAGCAGCGCTCTGCCAGGGTGACCCTCTCCCTGTGCCCCTCCCGTCTGTCCTGCTGCCCATCAGGAATGGGAATAGATGGCAAGGAAGGACAGCACCCTCCTCACCCTCCTCCGCTTGAGGGTGTGGTATAAGGTCGCTGAGCAGCCTACTGCTGACGTCTCACTGCTAGAGAAGTTGGAGGGGAAGTTGAGTTGACAGGCGTTTGAGGGTGCGGCTCTCGTCAGAATGCAGGTTTGCCGGGCGCGGTGGCTCAAGCCTGTAATCCCAGCACTTTGGGAGGCTGAGGCGGGTGGATCACGAGGTCAAGAGATCGAGACCATCCTGGTCAACATGGTGAAACCCCGTCTCTACTAAAAATACAAAAAAAAACTAGCTGGGCGTGGTGGCGCGTGCCTGTAATCCAGCTACTTAGGAGGCTGAGGCAGGAGAATTGCCTGAGCCCAGGAGGCGGAGGTTGCGGTGAGCCGAGATCGCGCCATTGCACTCCAGCCTGGGTAACAAGAGCGAAACTCCGTCTCAAAAAAAAAAAAAAAAAAAAAAAAAAAGAATGCAGGTTTACCAGGAAGCAGTGTTGGGAGCCCAGGAGAGAGGCAGAGGCTCTGGGAGGAAAGCGAATCAGCCCGTGGACTCCTTTCCTAAGAGCTTGGTTGGGAAGGTCGTGGGGACGGTGGCAGGAAGGGAAGGTCCAGATAAGCGGTCACCACGTGAAGACCGGGTGTAGCAAACAGCTGCTCACTTGGCAGGCCGTGGAGAGCTCAGTGACCACTGAGAGCCACCAGGGTCAGTCAGGAGTGAAGCCTCGGCAGTTTCTCATCCGTCCTCACTTCTGCCTCCAGTGCCAGGCTCGGCAGTGCACATCAGCCACGCTGATCCACTGATAACATGCTGACCCATTCCCTGGCACTGGCTCCACCTGGTCCCGTGCCTGGAGCGCCCGTACTCCTTGCTGGTACACGCGCCCATCCTCCAGCACTTCTTGCCGGGCTCCGCGGGCCCACGGCCTCTTGTACATGCCGCTTCGTTCCACTCCCACCACGGTGGTCCTGAACTGTTCTGTCTTTCCCCTCTCACTTTATGTGACAGGCCTGTGCTTACTGCAACTCTTCACTACTAATAACTGTCACAAAAACTAATCACTCACGTTTATCAGTGTTCCAGGCCCGGAATTCAGAGCAGCCCAAGCATTACCTCATTTATCCTCACACCACCCTGCGAAGTAGGGGCTATTATTATCTTTTCTTTTAAAAGAAAGGTTAAGTTGGCCAGTATGCTTCCAAAATGTTCAGTGCATGAAACATAAAGGCCTAGGAACTCTCCCAGATTAAAGGAGACTGAAAGGTACATGACAGGTAAATGCAGCAGGACATCCTGTTTTTCCGTCGATGATTATTGAGACAATTGACAGAATTGGAATATGGACTGTGCATTAGATAATAGTGTTGTGTCGATGTTAAGTGGCCTGAATTTGATCACTGAACTCTGGTTATGTAAGAGAATGTTCATAGAAAATGCACACTGAAATATGGGGTGAAGGGGCATTATGCTCCTACTTTCAAGTGGATCAGAAGAAAGATGTATATGTACAGACATAGAGAAAGATAAAGCAACTGGTGAAACTTTTTTTTTTAAGTGTGTTTCATAGGGAAAGAGTGAGTGGTTTGCCTGACATCCCCTGGCTGATAAGTGATGGTGCCAGGATTCAACCCAGGCAGCTTGACTCCGCTGCTCCCTACAGCCTTAGAGAGCCTTCACCCAAGCATCCCCCTGCTCACGCATGGCCCAGGCATGCTGGAAGGTCTCCGTGAATGTTGGTTAAATTTATAGGCTGGGCACAGTAGCTCACGCCTGTAATCCCAGCACTTTGGGAGGCCGAGGCGGATGGATCATGAGGTCCAGGGTTTGAGACCAGCCTGGTCAAGATGGCAAAACCCCATCTCTACTGGAAACATAAAAATTAGCTGGGCCTGGTGGCAGGGGCCTGTACCAGCTACTCAGGAGGCTGAGGCAGGAGAATCACTTGAACCTGGGAGGCGGAGGTTGCAGTGAGCCGAGATTGTGCCATTACACTTCAGCCCTGGTGACAAGAGCAAGACTGTCTCAAAAAAAAAATATACATATATATATATATATATATATATATATATATATATATAAATGAGCACATCTACACAAGTATGAAGAGAGAAAGCAAAAGGTGAAATGCACTGTGCACAGAAAACTTTGTGCCAGTATAATTTTCTTTTTCCTTTTGTGTCTTTTACTTCCTGTCCTTCTGTCTTCTGTGTTAGCTCTTGGTTGTGCGTGCCCTGCTGAAGAAATGTTCCACGTGTGTTCGTCCAAAGCATGTGTGCAGAATTCCATTCTAACTGGACTTTCCCTGGAAGAGCTGACCAGCAGCAAGGAGGCGGCAGCCTCAAACTTCTCCATTCGTTCTGTCCACTCCGATCATGACTTTGATTATTACACTGGCCACCTCCTCGGGCCATAATCCTTCCTCTCCTGATGTATCTAGCTCAACATTTTCATGATGTTCAGCCTGAACCCAGGAATGGATCAGGTAGAACTAAATGATGGATCGTCTTTTTTGTTTGCTGTAAAGTGGGGACTTGTTTGACATGCACAGAGAGGCAGAAGTGGAGCTGCCTATTAAAGTGCTTTACTACTGATTTATTTATGCTCTGCCTTCTCCAAGGAAGGATTGAAGTTAGGAAAAAATCCTTCATTTGAATTCTGGGGGAAAAAATGTAAAAGAGAAAGTTTTGTTCTGGGGAGCTTTTCAGAATTCTTGGCAGGAAAATGTAAAGGGAAAGAACTATACATAAACAGTAACAAGGACACAGTAAAGGGAAATTTTAAAAGGTGTGAAAGGGAAAAGACCACTTCTCATCTGTGTACTGTCTGTCTTCCTGAGAATGTCCAGCAGGGGCACCACTGTCTCCGGCACTAGATTTACTTATTTCTCCCTTTCTGTGGCAAGGCCTCAGTGTTCTGGGCCATTTCCTTTCTAGCAGACCTAACTGGGGTCCCGTCTTGGTTCTCCTCAGTTCACCCATTTCATCTTGAATGTTGCCTTCTTCGTGTTTCTTTCCTTCTTATAGAGTTTCAGCAAACTCAGATGATTTTTTTTTTTTTCTTTCCTGAAAGAATCTGATCTGAGGCCAGGCATGATGGCTAATGCCTGTTATCCCAGCACTCTGGGAGGCCGAGGTGGGCAGATCACCTGAGATCAGGAGTTTGAGGCCAGCCTGACCAACACGGTGAAACCCCGTCTCTACTAAAAATACAAAAATTAGCCAGGTCTGGTGGTGCATGCCTGTAATCCCAGCTACTCAGGAAGCAGAGGCTGGAGAATCGCTTGAACCCGGGAGGTGGAGGTTGCAGTGAGCTGAGATTGTGCCACTGCCCTCCAGCCTGGCTGGGTGACAGAGTGAGACTCCGTCTCAATTTAAAAAAAAAAAAAAAAAAAAAAAAAAAAAAAGCATCCTAGGGGATTCCTGCCTTCTCTTCCTTGCTGAAGGCATCTCCACCCCCAGAAAGGCCTGCCCTTCCTTCTGCTTGCTGACCCCTGTGCTTCTTTCAGAACCTAGCATCATCTCACTTCCTTCATGCACTGACCACTTGAGCATGTGGGGACTCCCCGACTGAATCCATGCCGCCCACCCTGCCCAGCACCCGCTTTGTTAGGCACACCCTCAACCTTAGGTTTCCATTGTGGCATCTCCCACTGCAGCTGGTGTGGTGGCTTACAAGTCACAGATGCTCAACAAATGCTTGTTTGCTGGTTAATTGATCTGATTCTTCTGCAGGTTGGGGAGTTGATGAGGCAGAGCTATGCCTCCAAAAAGTAGTTTCTAATAGCAGAGCTGTAGTCCAGGTTTGCTTCCCACAGAGTGGAGAAGCCGGTGCTAGCTGCAGGCCTGCTTCATGTGAATGCCTTATTAAGTACGGTCTTTCCTCAAGGTACAGACACTGTGGGAGGCAGGACGCCTTTGCTTACCTCCTTGGGGATTCTTTGCTTTTCAGGTTGCAGAGCCTGAGGCCTGTGATCAGATGTACGAGAGCTTAGCGCGACTCCATTCAAACTACTACAAACACAAGGTGAGTGGGCCACCTTGCATACCCCCAGCTTTCTGACAGGACAACTAATAAGAATGAGTGAAAATCTTGATTATGTAATGTTTTGTAAAGAATTGGGTTTGCTGTTTTAGATGAAACCAGTAATTTCAACCAAGCGAACAGAGGTGCCCGGTAGAGGCTTTTAGGCCACCTAAATAAAAGCTATTTAAAATTGTGAATATAGGGAATAGGGAAAAAAAAAACAAAGAAAACCAATTACGAATAGAAGCCATGTATTTGATACGCCAGTGCATGCTCCCGGGAGTATCTGACAGCCATTGGATTTATACCTATTTTCCCATCCACTCTGATGAAACTGACGCCTCCCGCACTGTGGTGATAAAGATGGGATGATTGGGAATGTGCCCTCCTTTTCCAGAGCTGGGCCCCAACGTGATTACTGTTAAATTCCATTTAGAGTGGTTTTTCCCAGACTCGAAAAATACGTTGTGTAACTCCACAAATATATGTGGCCATATGCCCATGTGGAAAATGGATTTTTTCTAAATCCTCCCTACTAACATGTGGTCCATGAGCAGTAGTTTGGTCATCACCTGGGAGCTGGTTAGAAATGCAGAATCAGGGGCCCCGCCCATACCTGCGTTTTCCGGAGAGGACTCATGGGCACGTTGAAGTTGGAGCTGCCTCCTGGAGACTGTACAGGTTCTTGCGAGGCCAAGTCTTGACCTCAAGGTGGCGCTGCTCTTCTTGCTAGGCCTCCTGGCCTGTGGTTGCCCAGGGCCCAGGTGAACCGCAGTTAGAGAGCAGAGCTTGTGTGCTGATCTCTCCCCTCCCTTCTCGTCCTCTCTGCCCCTGTGACCAGTACCCTCGCCCCAGAGAAACCAGCTTCAGTGGCCTGTCGTTGGAAGAGTACAAGCTGATCCTGTCCACAGGTAATGAAAGCACAGCTGCCTTTTCTCATTGCTTTGCAGATGATTCTCGGAGTTTGAGTGGCCAAGGGGAATTGTCTAACTGTTTTGCTTGATAGAAAGTCCTGTAGGAAATTCTGAAGCTACAAGCCTCATGCTTTTTGACCATATACTGTGGAGAAGGTCAAAGGCGTTATTTAAAAAGGAAATCTATCTTTAGTGCTTTTAAATTCGAGGCTGGGCAGCAGGGAACAGGGGAATACATATTTGCCAAATGGAAGTAGTCGAAATCAAGATGGAAGGAAAATAATTTTATTTTTATGGTCCTAAGAGGGCTTTATAAACAATGAAGGTTTTAATTAAAACAAAAAGCCATTCAATAAATGTGTTTGGGGATATCCGCCGAAGAGTTATCGGACCCAGGGGACGTGGTCTGTGGGTTAGATGAGTTTAACTAGGTGTGTTTTCGAGTCATTGATAGACTGTGATGAGCAAGAAAGGAAACACCCTGCCAAGCCCGTCCTTCCCTTGCTTCCCTATCTCCATTCTCCCTAAGGAGGGAGGCAGGAGAGCCAGGGCTGAAGTCGGCAGGTACTGGAAAATTACTATTTTTGTTGCCAAGTATATTATATGCAAAAATAGGCTAACCTTTTCTGGGAGGGCATGGCCCTGAAACATTTCCTTCTGGTATCCTAGAAATGTGTCTTTCTTCTAATGGCAGCCTTCAGCTACTTAGTTTTGAGGATATGGGCTTCTAGAAGACACTCTTCCTCTGAGATTAAAACCTGGTGGTGTGACCTGCTGTTACGTGTCAACTCTAACCCTATTTTTATTCCAGTACTTGCTGGAAAATGGGGGTGAAGGTATTTTGGCCAGGCAGACTCACTTTATTGGCAGTTTGTTTTAATGTGTAACTTTACTCCTGTATCCCTGGGTCCATGTAATTAACAGCATTGATGCTCATTATTGCAAGGGCCCTGGAGAGTTTGAGCTTGAAGTGAGTGTGGAAGTAAGTTCCGGAGGCCCTGCCTCTGCCCTGTCTGTTCACCCTCAGGGCAGCCTCTGCAGGGGGTAACTGGCAGCCACGAAGGCCGGGAGATGGAGGCGTCCCCGCCATTGGTCCGCGCCGCAGCTTGTTCTGGCTGTGAGTTTAGTTCCAGGAAATTTGCTGAGAATTTGTTTTCACAGCAAGCCTCATATTTTTGTTGCAAATTGCATGGAGTAAGCTTACCAAATGTTTCCTCTGCCAGGACAAGAAAAGACCTGCAGCACCTTGCAGTGAGAGGCTCTGAGGGCCTGGCGAGTCTGCAGGGTGCTGTGTTCTGGGTCACGCGTGTGGCCACCCTGGGATTGGGGTCATGGAAGGCGCTAAACGGAATCCTTGGGGCTTGGAGGTGGACGAGGATCCCTCAGTGACCTAGGCTTCTGGAAGAGCCCCATAGCACGGGCTTTTTTCTGTGACCTCTTTTGGTCAGAAAAGATACTCTTTTTTTCTCCAGTAGTTTTGTTAACATGAAAATTCAGGGTGGGAAAGCCAAACAATATTATAAGAATATCTAAAATTCAACATATACACAAAATTAGATTTCATGGAACATTAGCCCTAGAGATCTGAGACAAATGATTCCGTACTGGGGGTGATTTTGGCCCTCAGGGGACGTGGCAATGTCTGGAGACATTTTTAGTTGTCACAGCTGGTGCCGGGGGCAGCGGTGCTACTGGCGTTAGTGAGTAGAGGCCAAGATGCTTCAAAACAGCCCTCAGTGATGCACAGGCCAGCCACAAAAAAAATAATCTGGCCCACAGTGTTGGTAGTGCCAAGGCCGAGAAACTCTGCTTTGACTCTGGCTGCAGGTAAAGTTTGCTTTCTTAAACCAGAGCCTCTCCCGCCTGCATTGGGGTGGAGATGGCTGCCTTTTCACTGAGTGCAGACTGTGTGCCAAGAAAGTCACTTCCATTATTTTCCTTAATCCTTACAACTTTTGGGATACCTGTGGTTTTTTATTTTCTTTTTCACCTCTCCCCAGGTTGTCTGCAGATGTGTTTTTATCTTCATTTTACCCATGAGGAACTTGAGGCAAAGAGAGTTAAATGATTTGCTTGAGGGGACCCAGAGTGGAAGGTGATGGGCTGGGATTTGGGCTGCAGTCCGTCTCTCTCCTGGTGCCTGCTCAACTCCACAGCATGTGCTGGGCCCACACACCAGGATTCAGATCCCTGCTCCACTTCCCAGCGGGGTAACCTCAGCAAGTTACCTCTCCCCCTGCCTCAGTTTCCACACCTGAAGAATTGAGACAGGAAGGGCTGCATGAAGCAGGCCAAATTTTGCAATGAAGCATCTGGTCCTGTGGGCTGTGCAGCAGACAGCACAGGGCCATTTGTTTGCCCTCGTATGGAGCAGGGCAACAAGCAGAACCCCCCACTTTGATGCCAAGGTTGAGGGGAGGGGAGAAGACCACTGAGAGCCTGCTGGGCACAGGACATGGCCCACAGTGCTCAGTCACCATGAGCGGTCACTTCTGTCACTGTTTGATCGGCTCTTCAGAAGCTGCGTCTGCACTTCCCTTTTTCAGGAACACACTGTGTGAAAACCAAGGCATGCTTGTGTCGGGAAAGTCCCGGGGTCCAGTCTGTGTCATCAGGTTTTAGACTTCAGTCCCTCTCTCTTTTTGTCTTCCCCCCCTTGCAGACACCTTGGAAGAGCTTAAGGAAATGGATAAAAGCTTGTGGAAGAAACTGCAGGAGAAGTTTGCCTCTAAGGATCCTGAGGAGAAGCCTAAGGCCTGAGCTCTCGCCCTCATACCTAGGTGTGGAGTCTTGTGCGTTGCCATCGTCAATAAAACTGCCTGTTTCCCCATAACCTTCCGCTTTGGGAATCTCCTCTAGCCTTCCCAAAAAGGAAGCCCTTGCTGCTCTAAAGAAAGTTTCAGCCTGAGAAGGGATGCTGATCGAGCCGTCTGCTGTGACTGCTGGCAAGGTTGGGAAATCTGGGGAAAGGAAACGCAGGTTTCCCTCTGAGCCTGACAGGGGAGGGTGGTGGGGCCTCAGCACAAGGTGCTTCCTGCTCGGCCACAGGAGCCCCACCCTCCAGCAGGGGTCTGGCGTCTCCTGGCAAGATTCTCAGGCTCCCTTTTGTTGCAGGAGCTCCTGGGAGGAAGCCAAAAATAGCAGTAAATACTGAAAAGGGCAGCCTGTCGCGAACAGCAGCAGGGAGGTATGAGGCTGAGAGAGGCAAAAAGCCCCACTTGGCCGTCATCCCCACGGACTGAGAGGAGGACAGACCTCAGGTCTGTCCCTGACCTTGCAAAAAGCCCACATTGCCCAGTTGGCTTAAGGGACGGGGAAGCTATGGGCAGGCCTTGGCCAGGCGGGGCCTCAGCTGCAGTTGGCAGCAGCACCGTGGGCAGGTTCTGTAGGTGACCACAAGTCAGAGGTCCTGCTGGCTGGGGACACACACAGGGTCACCTTATTATTCCATGGAACCTCGGCTCTTACTGATAAGACACATTCACTTTCCTACTTGAGCATCCGTCAGGAACTGTGCTGGGAGAGGGACAAGCTTGGGCCCCACAGCGCCCCTGGTGGGTACAAAGTGGAAGTGGGTTCTTTTTGTTTGTTTGTTTTTGAGACGGAGTTTCGCTCTTGTTACCCAGGCTGGAGTGCAATGGCGCGATCTCGGCTCACCGCAACCTCCGCCTCCTGGGTTCAGGCAATTCTCCTGCCTCAGCCTCCTGAGTAGCTGGGATTACAGGCATGCGCCACCATGCCCAGCTAATTTTTTGTATTTTTTTAGTAGAGACGGGGTTTCACCATGTTGACCAGGATGGTCTCGATCTCTCGACCTCGTGATCCACCCGCCTCGGCCTCCCAAAGTTCTGGGATTACAGGCTTGAGCCACCGCGCCCGGCCGGAAGTGGGTTCTTAATCTCTTCTGTATCTAGACTCCTCAGGATGTTCTGAAATGCATAAAACAAAATCGACCAGGACTGCAGGAGACAGCAGTTATGCCAAAATACAGTTCTGCCCAGGACACCCGAGGATGTCACTCAGTGCACCTCCCGAGAGCCAGAGGAGAGGAGAGGCCAGGCCAGCAGGGAGAGGCTCTTGTTCCTGTCTTCTGCCAGCATGCCCTTTTAATCCCCACAGCCCCTGAAGGCGTTCAGGAAACACAGCCCTTTTTAATGGACTAGATTTCTGTTAATTTATTTAAGGCAATTAACACACTAGTTCTTAGGTCAAAGGATTTGTAAAACGTTACACCAAAAGGAGAAAACCAAGCGGTCATGAGACAGCCGCGCAGACGCAGCCCAGCCCTTGTTGCCTGGGTGCACAACTCTTCCCCAGGAAGCCCGGGAGGAGGCAGGTGCCGGGAGCAAGGCTGTCCATCACTGAGTCACCAGGCCACCTGGAGCCAGGCCAGGGAGCGGCAAGGACACGACAGTGAGGTCTGCACTGTCTACAGCAGATCTGAGGCACGGCGGGAGCTGGACAGCCATGGGCAGGGCTGAGCACAGCGCCCTTGGAATAAGTTAAATAACAAAGCCCTAAAATTACTAGTAACAGCATTACTGCCACCTCCCCCAGAGGTAGGCAGCAGCCAAAATGTAGTGCTTGGAGATAAAGAGGTGACCCCACTCTTAACCACCCACAAGGAGGACTACAAAGAGTTGTCAGTTACTGCATTAAGGGACAAAGGTCTCTAGGATTTATCTTCTGCTAAGGCAGTAAGGTAAACTGAGTCCCAGTGAACTTTCAAGTCTTTTTTAAGGGCTCTAGGCAGGACTGTCAGCCCTGAGGCTCCCCCTCCACGCTGGTCAAAGCCTGGGTTGGTGTCGGGGTGTCTGGCAGAGTGGAAGTAGCGGCTGGCTGGGCCACTCCGCCCGAGGAAGGGGTAGTGCTTCCCAGTCGCAGTCCCCAGTGATGAGCATCCCCTGTTGGGGCCTCCAGTGGCTCTCCTCAGCGGCTCATGCAGTTCTGGACATCCACAAAGCCTAGGCGTTGCCTGCGTTTCCGCTGCTCCGTCATCTAGGGTTAAGCAGATCCAACAGGCCCGGTCAGGCCACCTGGCACCTTCTCTCCATGGGTGCTATGGAAGGACTTGGCGCCAGTCTTCCCCCATGGGCCCAGCTGCTATTCAGCACTGGCGGTGGGCCAGGGCCCCTCCGGGTGCTTGGAGGATGTCTGTCAGCACCAAACCCTCGTTCTCAATTAGTGTGTCACAAACCCCGGATTTGAGGCAGCTGGGAAACCACCCCACTAACACATCGCATGCTGCCTCGTCTTCATGGAGGCACTGCCAGATGCAGAGGAGGACGTCTGGGCAAGAAGGCCTTAAACTCCCTGTCTCCAGTGACGGGGATTTCCTCAGAGGCCCCGCCTGGCAGCTGCAAGAGGAGGGGGATGAGAGACAGAGGGCCCACTACCCTGTACTAAGCTTCCACCTGGCCTTGTCTTCAGGGGCCCAAGGCAGGGGTTGTCAACCCCACTCTGATTCGCCTGGAGGGGAGAATGGGTTTGGAACCTTCCTTCTCATCCAGGCCTAGGGCCAGAGGCCTGTGGGGAGAGGGTGGGGCAGGAAGGATGGAGGCAGGCAGGGGCTGCCCAGGGGTAGAGCCCAGGATGGGCCCGGGTTGGGGCGGGTGCACACCTGCTCCTTGAGCTCGTTGAGCTGGGCAGTGAGGTGGGACACCAGCTTCATGGTGGAGTTGAGCTTGTCCTGAAGAATCCGAATCTCATTCTGCTCCCCTTCACCCTCATTGCTCACAAGGGACATGGCCCGCATCCGGGGGAACCAGTCCAGGTTCTTGTTCTGAAAAACATCACCGGTGGGGTGAGCAGGCGTGGGCCTGGCCTAGAAAGGCCTCATTTAGAAAAACAGTAATGTGGGGGGAGGCTTCTGCCACACCCTTGACGAAATTACTTGCCAGGGTTGTGTCATGGGAAAATCTGAATTGACCTGGTCCTCCCTGGGACCAGAGTGAGCTGGCAGTCAACCCTCTGCCACCAAGACATGCCGACTTCCATTAAGCAGCGTTGGCAGCGGAGTTTGAGTCCTTCGCTGGTATCAGCACCATCTGTTTACTCTCATAACATTCCCTGAGAGGTGGAGGAAGGCCTCTGCACCCAGACAGACCCTGGATCTCCTTCCTTCCGCCCGCCCGCCTGCCTGACAAGCACGCCCCACGCCCCAGGAAGATGCGAGTCAGACAGATGGCAAATTGAGGGATAGGGAGGCTCCGCTGAGGAGGGCTGGCATCTGACACGTGTCTGGGAGGCAAAGCCATGTTTCCCAGGACAGAGGAGTGGGGAGGGAGGGGGCACCAAGCAATTCTCAAGCTTCCTTGTAAGCTGTGAATTCTTAGATCAACAAATAAATCTGTACACAAAGATCGGCTCGAAATACAGACTTAACATAGAATTCCTCCTTTGTGATTCACTGCTTCACTCCATTATAGAAATTGGGCAGATGACATTTGATTTAAGTGATAAAGTTTTTCCAGGCTCCCTTTCAGCCCAGGACCATCTGATCCAGACTTTAGGAAGCAGCCTGCCTTCTCACCGAGCTAGAAAACACTCCCTGCCGGTGACCCACAGATACTGGCCATGGGCAGGGTCTTCCCCACCCCACCCCTCCTCAGCATCACTGCACCACCGGCCCAGGGACACCACACGCATTCTTCAGGGCTGATGGGTTTGCCGTGGGATTTTTCCTGACACCCAGAGGTTCGAGGAGGCCCCTCCACAGCAGCCGGCGGCTGGCAGGGCTCCCATGCAGCCCAGGGCTGCTTCCAGCTGCTCTTCCTCGCCCTGCTGACCTTTCCACAAGTGTCTGCAGCTGTCCGAGCCCCTCCCCCTGGCCTCCCAGGACAGGCACACAGATGTGGCCACTCCTCCCCAGAGCCCAGGGTACTCAGAAGCTGAATCCCCAAGGCCTGTGGTGCACAGTGCTGCTGACTCTAGAACGGCTGGTTTGGGCCCACGGGCCCCGCAGCCCGGGCTTGCACCTTGATCATCTGGGCCACGTAGCTCTCGGGGCCTGTGTAGTCCGTCTTGTTCTTCACGCGGACCAGCACGATGAAGTACAGGTAGTTCCACATGTTATGCTCCAGCTTGATGTGTTCCTCAAATGACACTGTCTTGTTATCAAACTTGTCCCTCTCCAGACCTGAGGGTGCAGAGGGCGGGAATGAAACCATCAGCCTTCAAGAGCCACTGCCGGGCCACCTGTTGGAGGGGACCCGGCTTCCGGGGAGTGGAGGCATTTGTTCTCGGAATGAGCGCTTCCGACAGCTCGCTCTGGGCTATTTGGGTCACTGCTATTTAAAGCAGCAGCCACTTAGCGGTGGAGATCCTGCTCCTGCCCGCCACAGCTGCAGCCCTCCCGCAGCGGCAACCAAGGACTCTAGGAGTAAACGGCAGAATTCCCCGAACTCGGGGGAAGCAGGAATGGCTGGATGAGCGAGGTCCTACAGGTCACCTGTATGAGGGGGCTAGCACTTCATTTCAGGGGTGGGGAAAAAGCACTGGACTGAGACCAGAAGCTCCAGGCACTGACTGGGCTCGTGTCCTGCCCAGGAAACCCTAAGGGTTTATAGGGATGGCCCTGTCTCGCTCCCTTCTGTGACTCCAAGTTCAGCAGGGTCATGTTCTCCCAAGTTCTGGGATGAGCAAATGCATGGAATCATCAGCAGGGCAGGGTTCCCCAGGCCAGGGTTCCCAGGGCAGGAAGGGCTAAACCTCCAAGGCCACTGGCATCAGATGATGTCCCAGCCCCACCGCAGCCTCTGCAGAGCAGGAAGCAACCCTCACCACAGATGAAGCATGTCGTCTTGAGAATCTCCTCCTTCTTCTGCTTCTCAC